TTGTAAAAACATCAAAATGCATAATAAATCAGTAAATCGTCATTTACTAATTTGTTATTGATCTTAGTTTCTTAGCTTTATATAATGGTTGGGAATAAGATTATAGTCTAGAAATATGTATTAATGCTTCTTTTATCATTTTACAAAATATCATTGCATATTTCCACATATTTCATAATATTTCCACAATGTCTCGAATTTTTACAATATTTCCCCTCGACATTTCTGACATTTCCAACATATGTCCTATATTTTGGCAAGTGACATTTCCATCGACATCGACATTTTAAACCTTGGTAGATTCCTTTTTGATTGGAGTGACCACAATTAAACTAGATGGAACCAGTTATCTAGCTTGGGCACAGTCTATGCAAATTTATGTTTGTAGTAGAAAATGGATGCAGGAGAACTACACAATGATTGGACGGTTAGTCAATTCTATGCAGCCCCATATAAATCAACATTACCTCTGGATGACTTCAGCTAAGGAGATTTAGGACAGTGTTACAGAAACATATTCATAGAAGCTAAATGTTGCAAGAGTCTATAAGTTGACGAGTGATGTGAACAATCTGAGACAGGGGAGAAGAGTGTAGTAGTTTATTACTCCATGTTGAAGTCATTATGGCAGGAAATTGATGTTATGGAGATAGTTGTATGGGAGAGCACTAAGGATGCAGAAACATTTAGAAAACTGGTGGAACAAAACAGGGTGTTTGAGTTTCTTACAGGACTCAACCCTGAGTTCAACATTACTAGACAGAACATCCTACCTAAAGATGAGGTCACTCTTGCTCAAGCATATGCTATGGTAAGTAGTGAAGAGAGTAGGCGACAAGTACAATTACAAGGACCACCTATAGGGCACTTTGCACATGCTGGAATAAAGTCGAAAGAAGTGATATGTGAGTACTACAAGAAACCGAAGCATACTAAGGACACTTGTTGAAAACTTCATCCAGACCTTCTTCCGGATAGGTTTCAAAACAACAACTTTAAGAAGAATGGTCAGAGTGGGAAGCATAAGAATGCTAATGTTGCCACAGTGGTTGAGGGTGAAAATAGAGAAAGTGAAGAAAAATCAGCTATGGAGCAGTTGGCAGCAATAAAGGTAGAACTTGAAAAGTATGGGAGGTTACATAATTACTCGGAGACCACTATTTCAGCATCCAACCCTTCAGTCAACACCTCATCATCTGCATTTGCTCACTCAGGTACTCATGCTTCTACAAATCATGCTACTATTTCATGTAATCATAAAATCCCTTGGATTATTGATTCTAGTGCATTAGACCATATGGCACCTTGACACCTTCAATCACCACCCTATTCCAACAGGAAGAGAAGGTTAACTTTAACCCTTGGAAAAGAGCTACCAACTTTCCCTTGGGGAATTTCCATTGCACACAGGACCCAAGAAGCCACAAAGAATTAAACCTACATGGTCTTTAAATGCACAAGCAATACTAGATGGTCCAGAATTGTCAAAAAGCAGAACTGTCAAAATTGTGATTACTCCTATATTGAGAGAAGTCTAAGCCAGCGCCATCATTCACTAGTGTGCAATCACTTGTTAAACTCTTTGAATAGAATAAATGCAGACACTTGCTAGTATGCATGCAGTACACTCTGGAAGTGTTAATTCTATAAGGTCAACACTTAAAGTATCCAATGTTGTATTGAGTACATGGTATATCCATGTATTATAGATCTTAAAACCAAGGCAAGGAATATTAATCCAATCTAACTAGGTCCTGAAAAGATAAGGAATATTGGATCATAATCATGGAAAAGGCAGCCAATTTCCAATAGGCTTGGTCTCCAATAAAAGCAACCATCAAAACTTTCTTTTTAGCAGTTCTTGCTCAACCAAGATGGAGCGATGATGATAGATATAACAATCCTTTACTAAACCTCAAAACTACATGAGGATTGAATCCCTTAAACTCTTAAGAGGGTCAACCAAATAGGATATCATCAATTCCAGCCAATTGATAATAGGAGTAACATTACAGGGTCCAATGTTTCCCACAAAAATGGACATATAAGTGACTATAAAAAATAGGACATAAAATACACCATTGAGGGCAGTTGCAAAAAAAAAAAAAAATGGCAGTTAACATTAAATAATGTGTTATCCAAATTTTGATTAAAATATAAGAGTTAACCAAAATAATTCTCCAAATGGAAATGTAAACTCCTCTCATCTATTTAATGGCTTGAAGGATCTTCTCATGCAGAGAAGAGGAATGCCAGTAAACAAATTAATACAAATCTTGTAATTGTTCTCCCTGCAAACATGGTGTTGTGGGGCCCATGAAAAGATCATTGTTGCTTGGACATAGACACAAGAGTCAAAATCTCAAATGTGTCCAAGAGTTTGATTTGGCAAAATGAGAAAACATGGACTCACAAAGACATCTACGGAAAAGTATAATACTACTAAAATAGTTCAATATTTTTTGAATTCCAACATTATATACCTGCAAAAAGGAAGTCTAAAATGTTGCCTCTGTTACCAGATAATATTTAATGGCATTCATCTTGCACATTGTCTATTCATTTATGTCATATAAGCTAGAAGATAAAAAGGAAATGTTACGTAGAAGTGTCCTCAAGAATGTTTAGAGTGTCAGACTCTGAAACATGTCTGACAGGCATGTCATCCAACTAGGAGAGTCCATGCAACCCTGGAAAAGACATAACACAAGATTATGATGGACATATCTTTTCATTTGCCACACCTATCCTTTAGGGTGAGGAAAACCAATAGTTGCATAAACTCATTGTTTACAGGATTCCTCAGAAAAGAAAACAATAGTCTCCTATTATCACATTTAAACTTTGTTGGAAAGCTGAAACTAGTGGAGGATCTTTTAGGAATAGCAATTAACTGCCTCAGTTATAACTGACAAGATATGAGAGAAAATGCAAAAGAAATAATATATTAGATGAATGAGGGAAAATGTTACCTTTGGAACTGCTGCCTGGAAAACAAAATCCATATAGGCATTAGATGACATATTTGTAAAAGTAGCAAGGATAAATGTAGTCTGTGGATTTCCAGGCTGCTTTGAAAAGCTGAACATTATCTTCAAGGAGTTGCTCTGAAATGCAACTATGGATGGATAAACTGGACCATTGCCTCCTGTTATAATAAACAAAGCATCCTTTTTTGAATATAAAATCCGGGGAGTAAAAGGTAATTTTTATTTAAGAAGAGGAATTTGAGTCCATGGGACTTTTGTTACCTAGAGTTGAAAAATTTGGGGTTAATCCATTTAATAAGTCCACTACTGAAGCAGCTTCTGTGGGAGAGAAAACTTGCTTGGAAAGTGGATAAGAAAGTGATGTCAATCCTTCCAATGGTGCAACTGATGTTTTGCTATCATGACTGGAGGATAATATGTCAACTGTTGATAAACTGTCTTGTACAGGAGATGTTCCTATTGATAAAAGATCTAGTAGCATATCAGTGCCACTTGGTGGAACCTGGCTGGTGCCTTCACACAGAAATGCCAAATAATGCCAACATCAATATCTATACAGTGCAAAAAAAAAAAAATCTAACTGATAAAGTTTGGTCCTTGTAGAGTAGAACAGGTCAAGAGGCACAAGCCTCTTAGAATGTTCCAGGACTTTAATATATAAAAACCTTAATCCAGTTTGGTTCAGATTAGAGAGAACAGAAAGCGAGTAAAATTCTTGTATGTGGCCCCGCCTAGAAGGCTGGCAAGTCAATAACTGCAGGTTTCATTTTGAGCCCTACGACTGGGGTTTAAATGTGGTTCATCTTCCATGATCTAGTCCTCAAGGTTGGACACTGAAACCAAAATGGCCTTCATATCACAAATAGATGTTGTATGTGCAACCCTTTTCAGTCAATGGATCATATATTTCTTCTGAGATTTCCTTACTGGCTTATTCCTTGTTCAACACTTATTGAGTTCCGATTTTGATTTCTGGGGTTGCTCTGCACTGGTCTCCCTTTCATTAGGATCCAGGGTTGCTTCCTTTTGGCCCAGGGTTCCTTCACTATCTGCTGGAATATTTGGAAAGAGTTGAATGGAGGATTTTCATAGGCAAGGAGAATCTTGCTGGTCTTTGTGCAGCTGCAAGAATTTCTCTCATGGACTGGTCTGTAGTGCTTAAAGATTTCATCTCATTTCAAAGGAAATATCTTGCATCTAGTTGGAGAGTTGGAATTTAAGAGGTGGTACAATGTAAAGGAGTGTTTTCTTTTGTCCTTTTGTTTCTACATCCTTCTACATTTGAAAATCTTTTTCTTGCACACTGAAAAGGGAGCTGCTAGAGTGAATACAAGATATGCACCTAAACAACTGATGTAGAGGGAAATAGTGTTTATATTTCGTTGGTGTCTTACCTATTCTATGTGGCAATTGGTAATTGAGACCTACCAAGAGTTTCTGTCATGAAAACTTATTATGTAAAAAGAACATACAGTAATACAAGTTCATTTGACATTCCACCAGGCAATTCACAAAGACTGTAATACAAAAGTATTTATTTCAGGCTTTTCAGCACACTAAATAGTTCACCCATGAAAATACTAGATTATCAATTGTTTTCAGTAAGTACTGGTTATCAGACTAATTTGTAGTTCAAGTTAAGATGATTTTACAAGTGGAAGATGTTTCTGGCTCACTGCATGGTAGAGAGATGCATATTTGATCCTAATGGTTAGTATACATACAAGTGATATTTTTTATCTTAATAGATCTTACTAACTCAAGCAACAATGAAGAAATGCATATTCATACTTGAGAAAGTGCTGCTGGATGCAAGCATTATATAAATGTCAATAAGAGTTATATCATCAATCATTGTTCTAAGTATTCCAACCAGGCTCTGATAAATTCAAATATCATTGACCTCAAAAGTAGACAACAATCACATTACAAGGTATATCACAAAAATTTCAAGGAGAAAAGAACAGAAAATAACATTTTATGTGATAAGTGACAGCACAATAAATTTTAATAAAAACAAGATTGCAAGGATACAATTTCTACAAATAAATAAAGCTATGATGCAGAGATAATGGAATGATGCCATAATTTGAACCACCAGATAAACATAAAAATTGCTTCTTACAAAGGATCAAGAAGACCAAAATCCAGCATTCAAATTAGGCCAGTCCAGGTGATGCATAAATATGAAGCATGCAAAAATGTCCATTAACAGAGAAAGAATTTTCTTTGTGGAGGAAGTCAAGATAAAAAATGAAGTTTTCTTAGTTCTTTCAGAAAATGGCATAAACACAGAAAATAACCTGGCAATGATGAAACTGGTGCCAAATCTACACCAAGCAGATCCTGGAGAAAATCACCAGCAGAAGAGCTAGGTGCAGGAGCATCATCTGAACCCAAGTCAAGTAAATCAATAAGAGGAGCTGCAGCGGGTTTTGTAACTCCATTTGGAAGATTAAGTGAAGCTCCCTTTGAGGTTGAAACAGTTGTTGGCAAAGAACCAGCCCTTCTTCCACCATAAGTTGCCTCGTCCAAAACTGGCATTCGTTCCACCAAAGCAGACCTGAATATATTCACAAACCAGATTTTCTGAGATACTTGATATAAATTACATGGAAAGTATGGTAAAATCTTCCCAATAAGAATATAGCCTTTAATGATGTGAACTGCAGAATAGTCAAATACTCACCTGATATTCCTGTGCTTTTCAATAATAGAATTAAATTCAATAGCTCTCTGCTGCAATTCTAGCACAAAATTTCCTTTCTGCTGAACAATTATTTCCTTAATCCTCCTGTATAAATCAATTTAAAAAATCATCAGAGTTTGATGCAATTAATTAAAAGAGAAGAGAACAAAGAAGATGCTCTCTAATCAATAATTGCCAAAGTTTGATGAATGGTAGAAGTGTACAAAAGAGGAGGACGATAGATAGAATGAAAATCAATGGACTAATTTCTACACATGATAATACATAATATGAAATGAACTGAAACAACACATCTAATGAAGAGGCTGCTGACTGAGAGACAGCTGGACTCTTGGCTCCACATGGTTGTCCAGTTGTGTCTCATAGTCTTTTTGCTAATGATACAAAAATTTTCACTAGAGGTACTCAGAGGACCCTAAAGGAGACCATGTCATTCCTTGCCAAGTATGTGAGAGTCTCTGGCCAGCTAATTAAGAAGAAGAAAAGTTGTTTTATTGTCTCTACACATGCTCCGGCAAACAGAGTTGGCATAATAGAGACGTACAGGCTTTTTTTATTGGAAACAGTAACTTCATTAACACAATATTAAGATACAACTGTCGACCCCTAAAATAGGGTGTTGAGCTCCAAGTAATCTTCATTACAAGACTGCCCAGAAGAAACTCTCCCTCACAGTCCCTTGTTTGTCTAAGGTATCAGCTAGACCATTAGCTGATCTTCTTGTCCACTTGAAGCAAGCACCAATCTCCCTTGTTATATTAAGGATTTCCTTTATGAGTTGTCTATAAATCTAGGCTCCCAATTTGCCTGATTGCAACCAATCAATTAACAATTTAGAGTCTCCTTCTATTTCAACTTGGTGTGACCCCAATTGTTTAGCATATCTTACACCTTGAAGCAAAGTCATTACCTCCACTTTCAATGAGTCCCCCATTCCTATTGACCCCGAAAACAATAGCAACTATTCTACCATCTCCATCTCTGAATACTCCCCCTATACCTGAAGGGCCCAGGTACCTCTAGAGCTCCCATCAAAGTTCAACTTCATTCTTTGTTGTGTTTGTGGGGACCACAGCTCCTGCACAATAGGTCTTATGGAAGTTGTAGCTTCCACCACTCCCCAATTCCTATATATGTCCTCGGCTGAGAAATCTTTAAACAAGTCCAATGTTTGCAACCAGTGGATAATCATAATAGTTATTCTTTCTATGGTTTCCTCCTTGGATTTCTCCACTCCTTTAAAGATCTTATTATTTCTTTCTTCCCAGACTGACCAGGGGACAGATGCTCTTGTGGCTCTCCACATAAATCTTCCACACCTCTTTGGTTGCCTGAAAAAGCTTGGGTCAAATAGGCTTACCACGTCCGCGGGAGGTGTCCCCCTATAACCAAAGAGAGAACTGAGAAGAGAACCAAGATCAAATAAAGAATACAAAAGGACATGAGATTAATAGGTGTGTGATCGTCTCATTAGAACCCACAGAAGCTGCACACATGGGGTGAATGACAAAAAATTGGCCTCTTTCTTTGCAACATCTCCAAGGTATTGATTTTTTGGAGAACCACCTCCCAGAAAAAAACATTAATTTTTTGAGGTACAGGGCTACACCAAACCTCCTTTGATGGAAAGTTCCTTAAAAGGTTAGTTGACTGAAGGAAGACATTAAAGAAAGAGAACAAGTGAAAATACCAAACAGGGAAGTTTTCCAAATTCTACTGTCCAACAAGATTGATCCAAATAGGTCAACCCTAAAAGAGTAACTAGTCCATCCACCATTACCATTTCCGACTCCCTTAGTCCTCTCCTCAATCCCAAGTCCCATGAATTATCAGTAAAAGCTGAAGAGATCACTTTTCTTTTGTTTTCTGACAGTGAATAAATAGTAAGGAAACTATTGCTAAGGGGAATCTCTCCAACCCAAACATCTTCCCAAAACAATGTACAGACATCAAATTTGAAGGAAGGATGGAAGGCAATATACCATGAATAACTTTTCAGGGAGAACCTTGAGAAGCCCTAGGGTTGACTCCCGCATTCCAACCACTGTTTGCCAATCCATGTATGCTAACAATCACTATGCCATAATCTATCTTGTTCCAACGATAACCTCCATAACCATTTCCCAAACAATGTTGTGTTTCTTAGTCTGGCATTTTCTGTTCATAGGCCTTCTTCATCTCTACTTCTAGAAACCACCTCCCACTTCACTGGGTGATCCTTCTTAGTGTCTCTTGGTTCCCAAAGGAAGTGCCTCATAATCGCTTCACTTCTAACTGGTTTGCCACTTTCACTTTTATCTAAAAGGTAGATAGGAAATACAAGGGTAAGTTAGCCAATGTTGACTTAATTAGAGTTATCCTACCCCCCAAGGAAATGTAGTTTCTCTTCCAATTCGCAAGTCACTTTGTAAATCTCCCAAACACAAATCATAGAAGCTATTTGTATTTGGATTTCCTCCTAGCAATAGTCCTAAATATTGTAATGGTCATTCCCCTACTTCACACCCCAAAAGTCTAGCTAGCAAATCCACCTCTTCACTCCCTAAATTTACTCCTGCCACACAGGTCTTGCCCCAATTTACTTTAAGGTTGGAGATCCTCTCAAAATTATGCACTATCCTTTTTGGGTTCACAAGCTCTTCTACTTTCCCCTCACAAAACAAAATAATATCATCTACCTCTAAGCATATTATTAGCATCTTCCCTTACAATCATTTCACTCAAAACATCAACTACCAAGGGAAAAAGGAAGGGGGACAGAGTATTTCCTTGTCTAAGGCCCCTTTTGGCAGGAAAGAAATCTCTAGCTACTCCATTCACCAAAACTGAGAAATGACATGAAGAAGTGCAACCCTTCACCCATCTACACCATCTTGCTCCAAAACCCCTACAATTGAGAATATCCATTAGAAAATCTCAATCTACCATGTCATAAACCTTTTCTAAATCCAACCAACAGACCAGCCCCTTTTGCTTCTCCCTTCTTCTAAACTCTACACATTCATTAGCAATGAGAAGGGATATGGCCTTTCACTTACTTAGGGATTCTATTGACAAAGGTAGGCCTAGAAAAATCCATTTTGAGGGATGTATTGAAAAGATTGCTGCCCAAGTTGCAGGTTGGAAGGGTAAGCTTATGTCTTATGGAGGGAAATTGGTACTCCTCAAGCTACGATGCAAAGAATGGAAAACATAATCTCCAACTTTTTGTGGGATGGGGCTGAAGAAAAAACAGGATGGATTTTCCTTTCAATGAGAGTGGTCTTAATATAAGGAGATTTAGAGATGTGGAGAGATGCTTTCAAGTTAAGGCTCTGTGGGGTGCTTACAGTGGCAACTCAATGTGATCTGATTATTTTTGTGCCTAGTATCTAAAAGGTAATCATATTTCAGAAGTGGATCTTCCATGTTCATGGTCCACTAAGTGGAGAAAAAATATTAAATACAAAGATGAACTGGTTGAAAACACTATATGGCCAATTGGGATGGGCGGCATCAGTTTTTAGTTTGACAACTGACAGGGTGTTGGGCCTTTATTTTTGTTAGCTACTGACCTGGAGATCATTGACAAAAGCCTGAGGGTCAAGGACCTCCTTAGGGAAGACAGTGATTGGTATTTTAATTTGGTAGGGGTCAGCTAAGCGACTAAGTCTTTGAGGATATCTATTTAGTGCAAGTCCATACCTTGGACAGGGATGACAAGGTGATTTGGATGGCCAATTCCAATGGAGAGTTCGGTAACAAATCGGCTTGGGATTGTGTGCATAATCAAAGACCAGTTGTGAAGGATTGGGGCTGGGTTTGGAATAAACACATCCCCCCAAAGATCTCTTTTCTTTTTTTTTGAAGATAAATAAAGAAAAAAATTTATTACTGAAAAGAGTTTACATCTCATAGGTGACAAGAGGTCACCTCAAAGAAACAAATCAAACAAAACAGAGCATACTATCAAAATACATCAGAAAAAAAATCGGAACTAAGCATTCAAAAAGCTCCAAAAACTGCCTTGCCCCAAAATCTTCTTTCTTTAGTCCTTGAAAATCTGGCAGGATTAAAGCCCAACCTATTGCTGAAGAACTGATTCGAGCCACCACCTCTTCCCAACTTTTTTCCTTGTTCCCAAAATTCTTTTATTTCTTTCCTTCCAAACTTCCCAACACACCGCGAAAAGAATACAACTCCACAGAATCTTGACCTTAGAACCACCCTGAACTCTTGGCCAACATCCAAAGATTTCAGCCTGATCTGAAAAAATAGGACCATATTAATGAAATGAAGCTGCAACTGTAGAAAAAATGCAATATGTTTTCTTCTTCAGGTAAACAGAGGATACATCTGCTCGAGAATTAAAAGCCTCGGCTCCTAATGCTGTCCTGAGTCAGAATACACCCCTTAGCTAGTAGGCAAGCAAAGGCTTCCACCCTTGGGGGTACAGGTTTCCCCCAAACTCCCTAGACTGGATCAGCTTCCAGCATGGTTCTGATCAGAATTGAGTACATTGACTTGACTGTAAATTTCCCATTCTTACACTTCTTCCACCACCTGCTATCATCAACCGACGGATTGATCTCCACCAATTGCAACTTGGACAGCAGCTCCACGCATTCCTCCAACTCCCAGTCGAGTAAAGGTCTTTTGAAATTTGGAGACCAGACCACAAACCATTTGAGACTTCATAGCAATCCGAAATAAGCACACCCTTCCTGCCCAATCTATACAACCTTGGGTTGATTTCGCAGTCTCCCAAAACCAGACCAGTCATCCTCCCAGAATCTAATCTGGACCCATTCCCGGCTCTCCAAGAGTAGTGAGGGACCATTAAAGAATTGAAACTCATAATCCCTTTCCACACACATACCCCATAGGAGTGTCTTACCTCCTTTGAATCCCGCCCAAAATTCACAACCCCATATTTCCCAGCCACTACTCTCCTCCATAAAGCCTCCCTCTCTCTACCAAACCTCCATACCCACTTTCCAACAAGGCTTTGTTAAAGACCCCCACCCTTCGCACCCCAAGACCCCCCCTTTTTTTAGGCTTGCATACCACCTCCCACTTAACCAAATGTACTTTCTTTCCTTTAG